GGTGGAGGGTTGAGTGACAAAGGGGAGCTTGGCTCCATCGTGACGTTGTCCCTCATCTGGGGGATCCAGTTCTTGAGAATGATCGTTGGATAACTCGTGAGATGATTCTGTTGCATCTTCATCCGGCAAGTACGGATCCAGTATGATCTCCTCAATACTTTTTATCTCTAGGCGGCAAAAGGGGCAAGTCTGGCCGGTACCAGAACCCTGACAACTAATCAAACAACTCTTGCAAAGCAGGTGGCCACAGGGTTCCAGTTGTACATTCTTGTTGTTTTCGGTGCAAATCTTGCACAACTCGAAAGTGGAGCCCATCTTACAGTAGAGTTGGTACTGCTCCTGAGATACACGCAAGTGTGTCTGCGGCAGGTTTTCCACCAGTGAGGACAAGATGGAGGACTGACTGGGGGTTCCGTTGGGATAAAGGTAAAACCCCTCCCGTTCACCGTCAATGAGGGCCTGCGCCAGAGACTTGTTTTGAATGATGGTTTGAAGGATGCGACGATCTTGCGTAATGTAACCAATGGCCCATTGGCCAAGTTTAGTGCAGGACAACCGATAGACGTAACTGCCCGGACCAGGGTGATGACGAAACCGTTTGAGTACGGCTTTCACCTCGTCATAGGTCATAAAGGCCATGTAGCCGGCATGAAGAATGGCCAGGGCCTTCCAGGTCTCAATGACATTGTTCCAGGGCTGGAAAAGGCGCACAAACACGTCAAACTCGAACACTGAGACATAGTCATTGCACGTGAGGTCGATGGTATTCTGCAGGGCACGGAACTCAGATCTGCAGTCAATGTGAAAACTCTCTGACAGTGCCGCCTGAAACAACTGCCAAGGCACGATGGGACTGTAGTCGAAATGACTTCGCCACCATTCTGCGGCCTCTTTCTTGGTTATACGGAAGTTTTCGGGTGAAAAATGGTTGTTGGGGTAGAGTGCCTCCAGGTCTTTGAGGATGTGCGAAAATACCAGCGAGTTTTTGGTCAGTTTTCGTCGATACTCCGACTGCTCATCATACATCAGTTCCTTGGCCTCCTTGAAGAGCTTCGAGGTGGATTTGCACTTATTGATGAGATTATTAAGAAAGACTTGGAAGTAGAGGGTATTGAAGAGCTCATCGAGTGTGCTGCTGTAGGCTGTGATTATAGCCTTCAGCTTCTCGTACATATCAGGAAGTATTTCGAGCAGGTAGGGCGGACTGTTGCGTAGCTGGAGTCTAGGATGCTGACACAGACGTACAAGCTTTTCCAGCCTCTTGTACACCTCATCGATGACCTTTTTGTCAGGTCGTAACAGAACAAGGCGGTTGGCAGATGTAGAAGACGCCGAGGGCACAGAAGTGTTAGCATTGCTCACACTACCACTGAATCGAGAACGCATATTGAGGTGAGATGGAGACGCCGAAGGAAAACCGTCACTGC